AGAAATGATAGCTCTTTAATTGTGACAAGCGCTATTAGATGCTCGTAGTAGCGATTTGGGCAGAGGTAATTTGTGCAAGTGTTTAGATTTCCTCTGTTGTCAATATAGCAGTCTCAAGCTTCTTGGAAGTGGTAGGTATGGGGAAGTGCTGCATAGACTAGACAAGAATTGGCCACTGTGTCTGACTCATTCTGAAGTACTGAAAACAAGTTTATAGAGAGTGGAAGGAGAGCTCTTAGAATAATTGTACTACTTCAAGCTCAACAAGATACTCAAGCACGTAATCTAATATATACAGATTGAGGATTCTTTTCTTGTTGTAGTCTATATATTTGAAAAGTATATACTCATCCAGTTTTACTCTTCTAATCAAAATATCCATTTCTCCAAACTGTGCCGAATGCTTTAAAATCTCAGACTTAGTTGTGCCACAGTCCCTTGAACGAGATTCTGCCAATTTCCTTCAATTCTGAGTCTTAGCAGTTCCACTCTTTGATGCTGATGACATAAGCAACATTCTTGACAGTGCAATCTCTAGGCTTGAAGACTGTTTTGATGTCTTTGTTGATGACATCCAGACAGTCAAGTGTTTTGAGGACATTGAACCGTTTAAGCGTAGCTGCAAACTTCAGAGCAAAGATGCGAGTGAGATTGGCAGCTATGTACTGGGAGAAGTCAATGGTGACTGGCTTGAGAGTGATGGGCATGTAAGTGGGAGCAGTGATAATGCGATCCGCTAGTGAGCGGCTGGAGGAAGAGCTGGCATGCATGTTTTGTCTAGTGCGGATTTGATCCCATTGTGCCTGGAAGTGCTAGTGGTCATCGTGGGCAGTAAGCTTGGCCTGTTTGACAGTATTCCAATTAATAGTTGAGAGCAAGGTGAACAGTAGTGGGAGTGTGGAGATGTGCTATATAATGGCTCTGAGCTCGGTGGTGGTATACTAGTAAGGGATGCCTGCTTCGCGTTCTCAATCAAGTTGGTCAAATATGGCTTCGGGCAGCGCACAGCAGAGGCAAAGGTGACATTTGTCCACAAGGCATTTGGAAGCACGAGGGTGGCCGGGCAAATTTTTAGGCACTGGTTTTATGCAGAGATTAGCACCAAGTGCGTACATCTGCCACCAATTGCTGTGAAGACTTACTCTTCAAACAGAGGGAATAAACTTTTTTAAAACTGTGCATGAAGCACTGGATAGAGAAATAAGGTCCGGGTGCACAAAGATCTCAACCTAATGACATAGACTTGTGTCAACATGACATGAGGGATACTGCATGGATCTAACTACAAGGCAGTGCAAACATAGTCTTGCAATAATTGTACTGATTTGTTTAGCTAGCCCAAATAACCAAGTAATTATTAGTGAGTGTGCCATAATCCAAGTGAAGGCTTACCTAGCCCAAATAACTGAAATGTTGAGATGGGGCTAGGTAGCGACAAAGCTTATACACTGTTCAGGTTGCATACAAACCAGGTATTACCTAAGCAACTGTAGCTATAGCATTTGCTAGTATTTAAGTGACTTGATGGGAGAATGGGGGCCAATATATCATAGCATATGACGTCATTGGGCCAATGGAGATCAGATGTTTGTTGCTGATCGGACTTGGAGATAGAAGGTCCAGTGGACATTGGAGCGTGGCTGTTACTGAGAAAGCATGATGCAGTGACAAGGCGGCGGCAATGCAAGCATGTTTTGATGTGCTGATGTGTGCCTGTTGGTGATGCAGTCCTGAAGTGTAAGCATGCGGTTAGAACTTGTAAACTGGTGCCTGAGTGCCAACAATATTTGGAGGGTCATATAAACATAGAATAGATTGTGGAAAATCAGAGAAAATGGAAAAATAATAAGAGGCCAAGGCTATGCCCATGACAACTGTGACAGGGTGCAAAATGTACTTGAGTGCTATGATGGTCAATGTAGACAGTGATAGTGTTATATTTCTCTGGAGCAGGAGTAACGGATAAAAGCCCAACTATGTCAACTCCAATATGTTGCCAAGGGCCAGGAGGAAATTCTTGAGGCATAAAGGTAGCCTTCAGATGCTTTACTTCTTTGTATCACTGACATTTATCACAGCCTGCAACATATTTGATTATAGCAGAGTTCATTTCTGACCACTAGTAATAGCAAGAGACAAGTTCTGTAGTTCCATGTTTATCAGGATAGCCTGCTATAGGAGAATTGTGACAAGACTCGATGATTCGATTGCAAAGGTTGGAGTCTTTTGGAACATAGAGTTTGCCTTGGTGGTAGACAAGTCCTTTGTTTTCTTCCCAGTTAACAAGGCCAGTTGTAAGCTTGCAAGAACCTTTCAATTGAAGGGTAGAGAGAGCTTCAGATACTTCATTGTTAAGCAAAGTGCTATTGCAAATATCTAATTCTAATAGAGCCGTTGTGACAAAAGCTATAGCAGCTAAACGTGCAAAGTGTTTGAAAGCAAGCTCTGAACTAGTTACACTGATAAACTTAAAATTTGGAGATACTATCTGGTCATTGTTATCAGCATTATCAGAAACATATTCTGAGCTAGGGCATGATAAAAGATTGGCAACCAGATGAGTGTTGCTGGGCTTGTGTGTGAGGACAAAATTGTAGTCTGCTAGTTTGAGGGCCCAGTGAGCTTGTCTGCAAGTGAGACATTGAGCTGTTCTCCAGTATTGGAGGTTAGCATGATTGGTTTATATCTTGAAGAGTTTTGGCAGTCCTTTGAGGAAGTGATGCCAGTTTCATAGAGCTTGATAATGGCCATGAGTTTGTAATCATAGATTTTGTAATTTTGCTTGATGGCATTCATAGTCTGAGAGCAGAAGATGATGAAATGCCAGAGCATGTCTGTCATGGGCGTAGCCTCGGCCTCCTATTTTATTTCCATTTTCTCCGATTTATTCCATGTTTATACAAACCACCAAACGTCGTCAGGTGCACTAGCGCCAGTTTACAAGTTCTAGCTGCGCGCTAACACCTTGAGAAACGCATCACCGACAGGCACGCATCAGCGCATCAAACGCGCCTGTATCGCCGCCGCCTCGTCACCGCATTACGCTTCCTCAGAAATAGCCGCACTCCAATCTCCACTGGACATCCGATCACTGTTGGCCCGACAACGTCATACACCATGACACGCTGGCCTCGAGTTTGATCGGCAACGGACATCCTATCCCCGTCGGCCCGACAAAGTCATACGCTATGATACACCAGCTCTCGCCTCTTCGCCAAAGTCCCCTAGACACTAGCAGCTGCCATAGCACAGTCGCTTATGTAACGCCTGATCCGTGCGCAGCCTGACTAGTATATAAGGAGTCTCTTTGTCGCTACCTAGCCCCATCTCAACCTCTTGGTTAATTGGGCTAGGTAAACCTTCATTTGTACCGTAGTATAGTCACTAACACAACTTGGTTAATTGGGCTAGCTGAATAAGCTAACGCATAGTCACCAGACCTTGTCGGCGCCGCCTTCTCGTTAGATCCACGTAGCATCCCTCATAGTGTGTCGACGTTAGTCCACATCAATGTCGTTAAGGTCTAGCTGGCTTAATTCTCCTTCAGTGGCATAGTCCAAAGCATCAACTTGTATTTGTGTATTGTGATCAGCATACCAGGGAGCTAATACTGGTTTGGTGGTAAACTTGACTTTCAAAGTATCAAAAGCTTGTTGTTGTGCAGAACTTCACATAAAAGGAGTATCCTTTTTAGTGAGGTTGTGAAGGAGACAAGCAATTTTTGAAAAGTTTTGAATAAACCTTCAGTGAAACATGGTCGTAGCAGACAATTGTAAACACTAAGTTCAGACAATGAGAGAACGAGAACAAGATTTATTCACTTCATTCTGTGCAGAGATTTTTAAGTACATGAGAAGAAATAAATAAATAAAGAACCAAACATATCTTTGTTCCATGTAGAGATGTTGAAGAAATGGAATGAAGGGCAGAAGAATGTATTATAAGGGCACAGTCTTGAAGCACAAGCGAAGTCCAAAAGGTAAGTTCAAAAGGGGTATCTAAATGACCAAAGAAGGAAAGAAT